ACTGCTGTATAGCAGTAATGGTTTCAGTAACTGAATTCTGGGTGTACTAGTTCTAATTATGAAGAAACATATGACTGCATGATTGGAGTATGAACTTCTGAGCAAGGCCCCATCTGTAGCAGGGCTGAAACAGTAGTGTTAGTGGGATGTCTGCTCTGGGATCCATTGCTGTGGAGCATTCTGCCAGCAGCAGATGTGAATTGCACAATTTTCTGTAAATTCAGAATTGCCAGTATTTCTGAGTGAAAAAAATCTTATCTGATGGAGATAAAAAGTCATCCCTGTTTCCTCTTCTGCTCTGTAAGTTATGCTGACCATAGCAATAGGAAAGGATTGTGCTGTGTACGAGAGGAGATGAGTGTTACTGCAGATGGTGAGTAGGACTCCAGTTATACTTAAATTGCCTTAAACCAGCCTAAACAGAAGGATATTCGTGTGCATTTGCTCTGAAGAGCTGTGCCAAAACAATCATTGCTCTTTGGGGAGTTAGAGATCAGGTGAAATTCTGTATTTCAGCCATTATGTGAGCCAGAACTGAGGCTGATTACCTTCAGATTTGTGGCCATTGACCCAAAATCCCTATATGACCTTTTTGGTATGCCCTTTGAGCATTTGCCACAGCTGATCTGGGATTGTGATTAAACACCACTTTCAAGGTTAGGCTGTTTAGCTGGCAAGTTTTTGCCAAGCAGAGTTCTGAATAATGAATGCTTTCTGCTTTTGGCTTAGTTTAAAGTCTAAGTTCTTACAAGAACTTTAGATTCCTCTTCCTTACTTTACTGCCAAATTTTCCTTAAGAATTTTTCAGTCCTGCACACCTGCCTTTTTTTTTTAAGTGTTGATTTTGATAGAAACTGGCCAATGAGTTTAAAAGTGCCTAAAATTTGCGAAAACAGGGAGAAAGGAACAGACAAGTAAATACTAAAAGCTGTTACGTAAATCTCACTTCTGTGGGAAACTACACTACAAAAGGAACTTTGCTCTCAATTCAGTTTGGATCTAGTGGTTAGAATTAAAGATTACCAGCAAATCTTATTTACCTCTGTTGTGCTCTGCAAATGGTCATAGTCCACATGTGTGATGGCCTCTGGTTCGGGGGTTTTTTTGTTGGTTTTTTTTTTGAAAACAGTAAGCGTGATCTGTAAATCAGCTACCACACTGAAATGGGTCGGGGGTGATGGTTGTTACCCTGTAAAGTAGGAAACAGCAGGATGAAGAACCTGTCCATATGATGCTTTTCAAGGAAAGTGAGATAAGGCTGCATCAGACTAGGTAACCCTCAAGGAATCTGTTGCACTGTCTTCGATAATCTTTGAGTATCAGTGTATAACCGAAGCAGTAAAAAAATCCCCCAAAACTCCCTAGATTTAGAAAGGAATGTGGATCTCAATTTGCTGTGCTCATTTGATCGGGTGTTCGTAGAGGCTGCAGGTGACTGTCAAATAGATGAATTAGCACAGTGTTACAAAAGGAGTGTGAAAAGATGTGGTCACAGAGACCTTCAAGATTTGCTGAGCCTCCTTAATGGGGATGAAGATTCTGGACACTAAGGATAGATGGAAAACAAAGAAACAAGGAACAGATCTTCTTATAAAGTGCTCTTCATAGACCTTTATCCTTCTCTCCAGTGTCTCTCTGCCCTCTTACCTACTTTTCTTACTTACTTGCTTTTTGAAATTGCTTTCTTGGTTGGAGAACTGAAAGAATACTAACCCAAAAGTAACTGCATATTTCTAGCATGCAGGAGGCATATAGCTGAGGAAAAGTGAGTGTCTGAAGGTTGTTGTATACAAAGTTAGTAAATGCAACTTCCTATCACATGGTAGAGAGGAGCAGTGTCCTATTTTTTTTTCTACCTTCTGAATGTGTAATATAAATATTAGTTATATTTCATGCTGTCATTGTCAATTTACTGTTCTTGAATGATAGCTGCCATTTACCCATACTGAAAAGTTGAGTGAGTTTGGTAAAGATGGTGTGTACCATAACAATCCTGACTCTAAGAAGAAGCAAAATTAATTTCATGGGCTCCTTCATTGTTAGCTTTCTCATATCAGTTGAATTTCTCCTGTTAATTTGTTGGTAAAACTATTGATGCCTCTTGCCCAAGGCATAGTCAAACAGGAGACTACTGTAGAGTCCTCTGATTATGTACAAAAGCATGCTGATTCAACATGTCTGTATTTGGATAGATAATATTTTATTTGGCTGTTCTTTTGTGAGTAAGTTTACATTGACATTCTCCTCTCTAATGGATGTACTGTGGTTTTTTTTGTATGTAGTTATCACAGATTTAAGTCTTCTGTGCTTCAAAAAATTCTTGACACAGGCAGTGGAAACTAATATTAATATTAAAAACATGAGGTTTAACATGTTGGACCAGAACAATCTTTCATCCGAGGACCAAGCCAAGGCCAGTAGTGTGACCCATCTTTCAGAAAAACTAAGCTTAGAGAATCTCTCAGTGTTATTCAGAGAGCAAAACTAATGGCACAGAGTGAATCTGAAACACAGTTGTGCCTCCAAGGAAGTATGTAGCAGTGGTTTACTCTGGTTAATGTAGACACTTATTTTAAGAAGGTAACATTACATCATCAGCAGTAAAAAGAAGAGACCACTTCATGCAAATCATCCATAACTTGATCTATACAGATGTCTTATGTGCTAGATTTTTGTTCAGCTGCCATGACTCAGAATACTGTTTCGTGTTAGATGCTTTCCATCTGCATGTTCAGATATTCTTGTTCAGTGAAAGAGGCTTCTTGCTACAACTGGAATTAAGATCATGTATATTTAAATAAAGTATCTTGGAAATGTGTTATGACAACAATAGATAAGGTACATTTCTAGTCTTTCTATGGTAGTTTTCTCATCTTTCTTTAAACCTATTTTGGACTTGAAAAATTTCATTGCTTCTTTCCAGAAATGAAGCTCCATTACCATTATATAAGTAATACCTTTTTAGTTCTGATTTTGAACTGTGAGAGTGATAAAGTGAATTGAGTCAGTATCTCCTGTCATCATCTTCTGCTTCAGCTCCACTCACAGCCCCAGTAAATTTCACATGGCTGAAGCCATATACATAAAGTTATACTTTTATTCATATATCTGTGCATATACATGGACATGCATAGTAAGAAACTAGAAGTGTCAGAAGTCTTGGCCTGTATTAACAGTTCATGATTGAATTCCTCCTGGTCCCTTCTGCTTCTATATTTTAGTGTTCTTGAGTTCAACAAACTATTTCCTAAAAGGATCCATGATACTTAGAGGTATTTAAACACCCAAATTAACTACCTTAGCATGTTTTTCTTGCCTTTCACTTCTCAATAACAGAGTACAACATCTGGTATGAATCAAAAGCATTTTCAACCATGACAAAAAAGTTCCTGTCAAGAAAGACCTTAAAGTCTACTTTGGCAGAAATGGTGTTTTTCCTGAAGCTGCATTTATGGAAAAGTTGGCATAGTAACTTTGCCATGCAACATCACCAAATGGCTTAATGCAAAAGTATGTATTTTGTGACTACTTTTCTTGTCAGGTGGCATTGCCATCTCTTAAGTCCTAATATACCAGGTGAATATTGTTACTGCGTAAACATCGAAAGAACCAGACTCTAAGGTAGCATCAAAAATTGTGTAATTTCTTATGTAAGTAAAAACATTATTTAGCAGTTGATGCTTTGCCATATCTTGGTACAGGTACATGGAGAGACATGATCAAGTCCCACTTGCCAATCTCAATGAGAAGACACACTGCCCTTGTCTTTCTCTCTGCAGCTGGACTGTAAGAGAGTTAATGTTGCTTGGAGCAGCATGGAATTTAATGCTTTCAGTAGCCTAAAAACGAGCATCCACAGAATACAGTTCCTTCTTAGGGATTTCATTCCCTGGGTTCAGGCAGCCCTCTCCACACACCTAATCTAGACACAATTACATGAGTTAACTGAAAAACAAAGAGCTAAGATTTGTTACCTGAAAAAAACAGGTTTTTTTAACTAACATTATTTTATTAGTGTATGGATTTTTCTTGAAAAAAATATTGTATTCTTAATCCAGGTGGAAGGATTGCAGTGTGAATGGTTGTTATACTTAGGATAAGTTTATTTAAAGTAAAAATACCTGTCACAGGGTGTAAAAACAATGTAGTGATACCGTGCAAAAGCAACTGCAGTTGTGATAACCATGGCTTTATTTGTTTTTATGGTGTAGTAAAGATTGAGGCGAAAGTCTTGGGCAATAGAATCATTCAGTACTGATTTCCTACTAGTGGGATGGGTGCCTGTCTTATGTTTTCAAGGCCTGTTTTGTCAGTTTCTGACAAATTTGGCAAATATATGGGTTGCAAATTCACTCTAGCATTTCTGCAGATGATCGTTGAAAAAGAGAAGGATCCTTACTGCTTTAATTTTCAGACGTGTCTGCAGCGTTTTTGTCCTTCTCTACAAATAATACAAAGCTAACAGCAAGCTTATGTCACGTTTCTGGACAACTGTTCAGAAACATGAATGCTGTAAACATACTTTTAAGATTTGTACTGTTACCATTTCACCTAGATGTCATACAAGCCATGCTTTTGACAAACATATCCTCTCGGAAATGTTGTTCTACCATGTGTATGAATGCTTTTATTTTTTGGGGGGGGGAAAGAGGGGGGAATGGGGACCTGATATTAAGTACATTACAAAGTACAGATACTTTAATATTTGGTAATGAGCAGTGGGAATTATTAGTGTACTGTGTCTTTAATGCTGCTTGGTGAGCTGCCTGCTAACCTGCAATATGAAATGCTTTAGGAGTAGATAGTAAAAGAATTGATACTGCGTAAGAGTATATCTTTAATGAAAACTGTATCTAAAATGATATATCAGAGAACCAGTCCACTGGTTGCTAAATGAATTAAAGTTTTTATGGCTTGGGGTTTTGTGTGCATCATTTTTATGCCTGTGATGGAGTCTAATAATTTAAGACTGTTTCCCTACCTCTCCCTGTATCTTGCAGGCATACAGGAGTTTCCAGAAAATATAAAAAACTGTAAAGTCTTGACAGTTGTTGAGGCCAGCGTAAATCCAATTTCAAAGTAAGTTCGTAATTTTTTTGATGTTTTATATTTTGTGCAAAGACTGCTGAGTTTCATACTTGCCCCAGACATGTGCTAACCTCTGGAAGCAGGGAGCAGAGTTACCCGAGAAGTGTCTTTGTTAACCTCTTTGCACTGCAGTGCAGTATAGCTATATCATTAACGTATTTTGCCCAAGTTAGCAGACTTTGTAGGCAATCCTGCCTTATACCATGTGGCTTTCTCAGCTTTTTTAAGTCCATCACTTCTATGTGAACATAGAGAAATATGAAAAGCTTTTTCTTTCTTAATAATAATAATTAATTTTACTCTATAGCCTGTACCACTGTTTTTCAAACTTAGCTTATGGGAGTTGATTTCTCTGTCACCTTGGATAGTGACAAAATCAATTTGGCAGAAGTAGCACTGCCAGAGGTACAAACTTTGTGCAAGGTAAGTCTTGTGGGGGAAAAAAGGTGTTGCTTAGGTGTTAGTTTTTCTTATGGTCTCTAAGGAATGCCTCCTCCACATTAGGTGTCAGGAGATCACAAATACATAGCAAGACTGCATTTGTGGTTTATAGTTTTTATTGTCTGTTGTTATGGTCCTCAGTACTTAAAAATAGTTTTTAAGATAATTTACATTTACAAAATAATTTACAGAGAGCAAGTATCTAGTGCAATTTTGTAGAAATTCCGATACCACCTTAATTTTAATGTTACCAATATGTAGGACTTCAATACTATACTGTTTTTTAAGAAAATATGACTTAATGCCCTGAATATAATTGAAACAGTGGAACTACATTTTTTTTTTTCTATATAGGCTTCCAGATGGATTTTCCCAACTGTTAAACCTAACGCAGCTGTACCTGAATGATGCTTTTCTTGAGTTTTTGCCAGCCAATTTTGGCAGGTAAGTTGGATTTGAAACGTAGTGTTTACATTTAGTTTTAAATGTATGCAAAGCAGTTTCTGATCCTTCTCAAGCAAAGTGTGAACTGAAGTATGGGAAGAAATGTACATTACCAGTCCATTTATGCCACATATTAGTTACAGTAAAAAACCCATGAATCTTTATCAGCATTTTTTAATTGGGCTTTTGAAGGACAGACAGAATGCTTATAAAGACCCAAGAAATAAAACTTATTTACATACTTGCTTCTTTTACAACCCAAGTCTGGTAAGTACAGGAACCTCCTATTTCTGAAATATGGGATGGTTATTATTTAGTAATTGTAGTAAAGCAAATAATGACATCTGTAATTCCACTTGTCCTTTCTTGGATGCACAGATTCCTTCATGCATATCTGTAATTCTCAAGTGCCTTATTGTCAGGAATCTTTCTGAAAGACTTAGCATATTTACAGTGTGCTGACTAAGCAGAATTGTTCCCTCTGATAGGCTGAATACAAGACAAATACTAAACTCGTACTTCTTTAAAGTGGATTAAATCTTGTGAGCAAAAGTGAGAGGATAATATTGTTAAAAGGAAGACTCCTAGATAGGCATAGTTCATCCTGTTCTCCTTATCATGCTGATTTAGCAATTTCTGCTCCCCCCACACGCCTCCTTTTTTATGCTCTCTCTTCTTAGATCACTCTCCTGCCCGAGTCTCTCAACGAGCTTCTCTTTCAGGAAATACAGCTATTAGTTAACCAGGCATTGCCGTAGACTGTATGGTTATAGTTGGGTCAGCACAGTTTACAAGAGATTAGAAAAGCCCCCAAATAAGAGCGCTGCAGAAGTTTGGTAGATCAGGAGGTGTACAATGAAGGATGAGCACAGGTGCAGTCTGTTAGTGACTGTTTGTTTATCAGTCCTTTCTGATCGGAGTCGTCTTCCCTGTCCAGTTATTAGTCGTTCCTTGACGAATGATTAGAAGCACCAGATCTCACACACTTAGCTAACAAAAAAGCTGCTTATGATGCAGCAGCATTAATTGTTGTGCGTGTTTCTAGTACATAAAGTTTGCATTTCAAAAGCTTTTATTAAGGCTGAAGAAGAAATATCTGGAGGATGCGTAGTTTTTACTTGTTGGCGTTTTAATGATTGCCTGTACATTTTTCTATTATGTTTTTTAATAGACTAACCAAATGGCAATATTAACTAAGCCAATGCCATATTAAAGCTAGCAAGGTTTTTATGCTACATGTGTCAGGGTCTCTGTTCCAGCAGTTCAGGTTTCCTACATCAGTTTCTCTCTGGCTGTTCATATTCATTTATTTAATAGTTTGATTGTTGTCATCTCTCATGAGTGTTGTCCCCTGTTCTCTCACCTGCTGTTTATATAGTGTTCTCATATCCCTCTTTTAGTTTGTTAGACTAAATAAAATTCTGTTTCACTCTGGTGTGGCAGGTTTTCCTTTGTGCCTGATTATATTAACATATCTTGGAACAAGTTTCAGTTTGAGTTCATCTTCTGTTTGACAGAGGATAACAACATATATAGCTATATTTAGAATTAAAATTCAGATCTCTTCATGGCTTGTACACTGCCATGATTATCTTCTTGTTTCTCTTGGAATGTCTGTGGTTATGCTCTAGTGTTCCACTAGCCTATTTTGCAGCTGCCTAGTGTCATTTCCCACATGACTGACTAGTGCGTTGGGCAGCTCAGTTAGAAATGGCTGGTGGCTGTACAAGGAAATCATGAGTACCTGACTTAGTGCTATGGCATCTTTTCTATGTTTTTCAGTCCTTAAGATTGTAGAG